AACATGAATTTGCATTTAAATGATGCATTTTGATGCACAAAAGTTTTTATTTCAAAAGGACCAGCCAATATAACTTTAATATTGGTGTGCTATATTAATTACAGACTTGCAATTTTAAGTGAATATGCTCCTGGCACGAGGATTTTCACCTCTAGGTGTGTGGTCTTCCCAAATCTTTGCCTGCATGCTCACACTTTCCCACCATTCAGCCAAACACTCTTGTGACATAGCAGGAAGACCTCAGGAGAGCTGCCAGTCACCAGGCCCACTGTCCTCAACCTCCAAACAATGTGAAAGAAATAAATCTCCTTGCTTTGTAAAGTAACCTGTCTCAGTTATTTGGTTATCTTACCAGGATGCACTAATGCATACAATTTATCCAAAATTCACCTCAGGGCCTATGTGCTCAGATCCTATATAGTTTAGCTGGGACACTAGCTTCAGCATGGCAGGAACCAGATGATGTCACTAACTCTGGGAGGTATAGCCCACCCAATGCCTGGACTCCCCTACAGACTACCAATGAGGTCAAATCTGAAGACAGACAATCCCTGGGGCCCCTCAGACCAGCCATGGAGACGTTCATTCCCTGCTATTCCACCAGAAATCTCCACAGCACTTTTTCATGCTCGCTATATTTTACCATTATCAATCATCCAGTTCCTTCACAAGTATCCAACATGGGTTTCTTCTTTGGTTTACCTTCTCCACAATATTCTCCCTCCTAAAAGTGAGCTGCTCACATTCTCCTTACAAGCTCTCACACTAAGCAATCTAAAGTCCCATCCATATAGTCGTATAGTACCCTCACATCCCCCATGTACCACTCCCCTGCGTGCAAGCCCTCAGTCCCCTCCTTCCGCCCCTCCTCTGCTGTGCCAGCCTCCTTGCCTCTACCTCCTGTGTGCAGCTCTACACTGCATCATCTTATCAGACATCAGGTCCAAATTCTCCATGAGAACATGGGCTGTGGGAAATCTTGGCTGCATCTTCTCCCCTTCAGAGCCCGGGGAAGCTAAGCTCAGCCCTCCCTGCTGGCCCCAGAGCACGTGACAGCCTGGCTTCTCTGTCTCCTTATAAGACAGTGAGCAGGCAGAGGGACATGTTCAGGAAGAAGGAACCTGAAAGTTTAGTGGCCACTTCATCATCATTGTTCATAGAATCAATCACAAAGAACTATTGTTACTTTGTGGAACAGTCATAAGATGCCACTTCAATCCTTCGTTTGAATTTGGTATTGTTCACAGGACCAATCAAGATGCCCTTTTCAGTGTTTAATTTGTGTGTGGACACAAGTAAAGAAGACACTAAAGTTATGGAGCTTTCTCATAGGAGGGTTTAAGAAGGCGGGATGCCAAGTGTGTTCCATACTATGTCTTCAGTGTCTTCCTTACATGAAAGAGAAAAGCAGTCTTTCTTTAGTGTCTGTCCACTGTGAGCCTTTTCTTCAATCTGCTCTCATGCTGTAGAACTTGCTTCTGTTCCATCTTCTATAAATGCTGACTCTTGCTGGCCTCTCTGTCTGTCTTCTCCAGTTCATGTTGAGTAGGCCAAAAACCCAGAGAAAAGCCACCATGGGCTCTCCGTTGGGTGACACATACTTGGGTCTAGGTTGGTCTCCTCAAGTGCAATGTGTCCTCCTCTAGCACCAAGGAGCAGGTGTCTCAACCTCCCATCCCACCCCAGGCTCCATGTTGCTGCCTCCACTCTTCCCTGGATGACTGTTTATCTTCTGTAATGCAACCTGAGCTTCTCTGTGGCTGGCAGTCTGGAGCCCAAGGAGCTGGAAAACCTAAGTGAATGACTCTCTGGGAGATGTAGGAAACAATTGGTGAATCATTTACAGAAGGAACAACTGTAAGTCTCTACTGCCTCATTTCTGTCAGTCTCTACTGCCTCATTTGTTAGCAAAACTTGCAATTTCCCCTGTAATACATAATATTTTCATCTTCTGAAACTCATGTGGCAATGTAATTCCCAAGCAGGATATTAAGAAAAGATAACAGTGGGTCCTTACAGACATTACTGTTATTCTCATCTCAGGAACTGATCCACTAGGCCAAGACAACCAGTAAGTTAAGGGGTATGGAGAGTGGATCTGGCATCAAAGCCAATTTTGTGAGGTCTCTGTCCAATTCTCTGTAGTCAGCCTCCTTTCTCAGCCTCCCCAGGGCTGGGATTACAGGCATGTGCCACCACACCGGGTTTCTGGACTGGAAGGTGTGCCCAAGGTTCTGAGGCTAGAAGGGCATGAGTACTGGGTATCAAAATTGGTTCTTTGAGCTTGCTAGGCAGACAATGACAGTCAGGTACTTCTGTCACTGGTCTATCTCCCCAGCCCTGTACATTCTATTTCAATAAAGTTTATTTGTTTTGTTTTGTTTTATTTGTTTGGTTTTTTGTCCAAAGTGAGGCAAAATGTAAATTTCATTACCTCTTTAAGGGATGAGGTACACCCAAGACAGTTCTGTTGTCCAAGCATGTTCCTGGCACCTAAGAGAGTTAGAAGACCCCAAGTCAGGCATCAGGAGACTGAAGGCACCTGTACAAAATTCCAACAGGACAGAGAAGTCTTGGACAAAGCTCCCTGCTGCCCAGAAAGTTTCCCATGTCCAGTGCTCCTTTGGACATTGTCAGGGATATGTCCACTGGCCTTTGCCTGAGACTGTGCAGAACCACAAATGATGGAGACCTACAGCGAGCCCTTTTTAGTCCTAGTCTCAGTCCTGCAAATTAGTTAGTAATCCCATAGATTACTAATCCTGTCAAGATAATTGGAATCCTGTCAAGCTAATTTCGATCTTCTACTTCCAATGCAACCCACAGCAAGAATAAAGGCACTAAAGCCTATTTATAATTGTGGGGAGTCAAGGGGTCCTAAGTCCAACCATTTAATGGCTATCCAGAACAAAGGTCACAACTGAGAACTGAATTTGGATATTATTCAGTCATGAATGAGAATTGACTTGAGGATCAATGACTGAGAATGGCAGGAAGGAGGTAAGTACTATGAGCTGAGCAGGTAGGAGGCCTGCATTCACCTCTGTCATATGCAGAAAGAAGGATATGCAGAAAAAGCAATTTTCATCATATTATTGGGATAGTATCTAAAGTTCTGGGGTCCAGTGCTTCAGCTCTGATGTGTAGGTAAACTTTCCAGACTCAGGAAGTCATAGCCTCTATCTGCAGGCTCCATCCCATCCGACCGCATGGAGCATTGGCTCTTTGTCCTTGCCCAGCTCTTATTTAACAGCAGCAGGTATTGGTTATCAAGGAAACATGTGTGCCACCTTCAGAGACTACCATGAGCACCTCAACTAGACCAATATGCATTGCTCAAATCCAATTGAAAGGATAAGGAAATGTCCTAGCCAGCTCTGCACATATCAATACATGGAAATAGCACTGTGAGCTGAGCAGAGAGGAGGCCTGCGGTCACCTCTGTCATATGCAGAGAGAAAGAAATGCAGAACAAGTAATTTGCATTATATTCTGAAATAGTATCAGGCACAGCAAAAATGGAGACAACTGCTCTCCTTTCAAGGAAAGTCACTCAGATGGTCCCCTATAGGTACCTGGGATTCTTGGTGCCTCGGGGAACTCCCTCTGGACATGGTCCCTGCACCTGTGCCCTCTGAACAGAATCCTCTCAGTATTCGCCCAAGGCAGGAGAGCAGGATGTGCACACAGCAGCTCAAGACCCAGGCATGGGTAAGAGGAAGGCTGGGCTCCTAGGAGCTGGGGCCTGGGCTCCGTGTGGGTGCTGGGCAAAGACTGACCACAGTGTGTGGAGCTGTGCTGGGCAACACTTTGAATTTATCTCCAGGGCTCTTTTGTCTGAAAGGTGAACAGTCCTCCCAGTGAAGTCAGGGCTTCTAGTTCTCTTGCTTCCTGCAATTTGCAAAGTTTTGGTCCTACTTGTCTTTGATCCTCTAGTTTTTTATGGTTCTTTGGGTTTTGGTAGGGGTTTTAGTGAGATTTGAACCCAGGACTTTCCTAAATCTTTAGCACCACCCTGCTACTCTTACGAATATTTTGAGAGAAATTCTTCCTAATTCTCCAAGCTGCCCTCCAAGTCACCATCCTCCTGGGTCAGCCTTCCTGTGGAGGATGCCTAACTGGTGGTCAACTTCTTACACCAGGCTAAATGCAAGTAGCATGGTGCTAGCTGCAGGAGGCCCACCTGAAGGTTGTTGCCAGCAGCATAAAAGGCAGAACAAAGGAAGCTGCCGGAACACTGTTAGGGATGATGTTTGGAGAAGCTGTTGGAGCTGCTGGAAGCTGCTAGTCCTCTTGGCTGTTCTGCTAGAGGACCTTGTCCTGCTGGCTTTCCTGATGACTTTGGAGGAGCTCTGGTCCTCATCTTGAGCATTGTTTCCTGGCTCCGGAGGGGAAGATAGTGCACTGCTCAGCCTCATGTGTAGTATGTCGCATTGGCTTTCCTGATGGAAATTCTGATTTACTGATCACTGGAGGAGCTCCGGCCCTCACTGTTGCTCAGAATGGCTGTGGTACTTTTGTAGAAACTCTCGTACTTAGTTTGGGTGTTGCTTCCTATGTCCAGTTCAGATCCCTCAGCCTGTTAGTACAAATCCTTCATCCTGCTGGCATAGACTTCCTAGCTTCCACCGCTGACCTTTCAGGCTTTCCAACAGAGATCCATGAAGTGGGCCTGCAGGAGACTTTGTTGTGGGCTCTAGGCCTCCAGCTGGACTGGTGGGAGGTATATTATTATGAGCTTTAGACTCTCAGCTGGATTCTTTAGTAATTAGTGTGTTGATAGACTTCCTGAAGTTGTTATATGTGGTTCTTGGGTGATTCATTATAAAATATTATAAAAATGTCTCCTGTACTGTATTGTTCCCCTTTTAGAAACTCCAAGCCGGGACACTCCCCAGGCTCCACCCCCCACCCCCACCCCCATCCTGGGATACCAAGCAGCCACATCCTGATTCTTCAGAGGCCCGGATCTGCTTTCACTTCCACCATTGAATCTTTCCCACAGAAAGGTTTGGCTTCCTCTGCTACAATGAGGACCTTAACACCTCCTCTGCCCGGTGGAGATCCTTGTGGTCCAGCTGGGCTAGCCCCTGGACAGGAGGCAGGGACAGGAGCAGAGAACAGCCCCATGCCTACAGCCAGAAATGCCCAACACACAAGGGCTACAAAGACCCTGAATCAGCCCATCACATCACAGCTGTCTGAGGTCCTGTGATCCATGAATTGTCATCCAGGCTCCAGTGGGGCTGCAGGTGAAAGGAAGGTGAGGCTGGAGTGTGGTGGGCTGGGGGTGGGGGCGGGGGTGAGAGCCAGGTTCTTGCCCTGGAGACGGAGTGGGAGCAGAGAGACCAGGGCACAGCAAGGTGGCACCAGCCTAGCAGGACTGTTCAGGCCATAGCCTTCCCCTGCCTTCCTTGCAGCAGCCCCGCCTTCTGCTCTTGGCCCACGTCCTATAACAGTCTCCACCCATGTGCACCATCTCCACCTATTTCCTCTTTCTTGCCACTCACCCCTGCAGTCACATGCCTCCTTCTCTTGAGCCGCCTCTTCTGTGGAACTCAGTCCTAGTCCCCAACACTTGCAGGCTGGTTCCCAGTGCTTGAGGAGACTGTGGAGCAGGAGGAGGTGCCACTTTGCCTGGAAGAAGGAAGGTCAGTGGACTGGGCTGTCCTGAAATGTGAGGGAAGGAGCGGAGCATCTGGGCCAGGACTCAGCCATCTTTAGAGTGGGCAGAGCGTCCAGAGCCACTGGGAGGGACATCACTGGTAGAGAAGGCACTATATCTTCAGTTTGCTGGGGTTACTTGAGGCCATCATAGGGGAATGACAGCGTTCTCTCTCTGAGTCCAGGGCGTTGGTCACGTGATTTTCGGAGTCTGCTGGATCAGAGGAACTAAACTGGCGTCCGGCTATGCAGAGAGGTTAGCTGGGCCTGGGACCCCCTCAGGGACAGAGGCTGCAGGACAAGAGAAACAGCAGACTGGCGCCCCCAGCTGGGCCTGGCCCTGAGCCGCCCTGCAGCAGAAGCTCTGGCCTCCCAGCAGAGCTGCCATCAGCCTGCCACAGGCCGCAGCTCCTGCCTTGCTCCTTCGCGGTCTGGTGCCCGGCTGCGCATGGCACGGGGATGCTCCATAAGAGAAGCGACAACAGCACAGGGAGGGCCCCTGAGGCCAGGCAGAGCTCCTCCATGCGCAGCACTCTGCTCTCCCTCTGTCCCTCCTCTTCCCTGTCCTTCTTGTCCTCTTTATCTCTAACTCTGGCCTGTTCCTTAGGAGAGAGCAGCAACCCTGATGGAGAGGGGCAGGAGTTCACCTGGCGCCACTGCGTCCTGTGTGTGCACGCCTGGGTCTGTCCACTTGTACGGAGGAGCGAGCTCTCTGGGTTTCCCTGAAAGCTTTCAGGCTGCTCTGCGCTGCTGCCACCTTTGCACTTAGCTAACTCCTCCAATCTGGGTATGGTTTTGAAAAGAAAGTGACAGGAAATGGACCTTTAAGGGTAAAGATTCAAATATTTGGTATAATATTTTAGGGTAAAGATTTGCAAAGAATACCAAAAGCAGTTTCCATGCAGTGTCCACCTGGCAGTGCACACTCAGGTGAGTTGCCTGACATGGCCCTTCCTCTTTACCTCTAGACTGCATCATGAACCCACTGTCGGAAGCCAATGGCACCTTTGCCATCCGCCTTTTAAAGCTTCTGGGTCAGGAGGACCCAGCACGCAATGTCTTCTTCTCTCCCGTGAGCATCTCCTCGGCCTTGGGCATGGTCCTGCTGGGGGCCAAGGGCAGCACGGCTGCCCAGATAGCTGAGGTAGGCCGGCCTTTCACCATCTGCCTGTGACATGAGGTTTTGTACTTTGCTGTGATTTGGGGGAGCCATTGGATCTTCGATAATAATTAACCCAGAAAAGACAATAAAATTTCCTGGCATTTCCTGTAGAAAGTGAGCAGAGGCTGAGCTGATGCTGTGGTAGGAGATTGCCTAGGGCTGGCTTCCAGCACCACAGGGCAAGGAGGAGAAAACGATCCTGGATTTCCTTGACACCAAGGTGCTGTGATCTGTCTCCCTTTGAAGCTCAGCACTTTGCAGCTGTGATGAGCCATTACTGGCTTGCTCCTCAGTGAGGTGACACACAGCACAGGCAGACCTCACTGTGACCTACACCAAGGCTTATCTGAGTGGTCCTAGGATCAGTCCCTGTCCCTGGGGATTCACAGGGTGGGCAAGAGCCCTGTGCCTGAGATCAACCCCCAAGTCCATTCCCTGGCGTCTGTTCCCCTGCACAGAGCTCGCCACAGATCTTGCTAAGCTCTGTCACTTTGGTCTCAATGTGACCAGCAGTGCCCAAAGGACTCTAATAATGCCAGCTCTTTCTCCATTTCTTCTTCCCTGTGGGAAGCCTTGAGGTGGATGGGCAGGGGGAAGTTCCATTTGGGGCACTTTAGGCACCTCTAGGACCTTAGTTCCCTGAAGAGCACTCTGAGGAACCCTGTGATTCAAGGACTCCCTGCTCCAGTACAGTAAGAGGCCTCCCTGGAAGCCAAGGTGCCTGCCTGGAATCAAGCCCTCAGGAGGCCTAGGCACCACAATCACCATGAAAGAGTCCACTCTGGCACACACAGGTGGATTCTGGCTCAAAAACATGGAAGAAAAACAAGTTCAGGGCCAGCCAGTTAGCTCAGTGGACTAAAAAGCACCTGCTTAAGCAGAGTGCAATGGCCAGTGTTCAATCCCAGTGGTCCCACTGTGCCCTGACCCACCCCCAGGGCACACAGAGATGGAGACTGAGACTGGGCATGGTGGTGCATGCCTGTAGTCCCTGAGCTTGGGAGACTGAAAACAGGAGAATCACTAAGAGCCAGTCTACATGTTGAGACCCTGTGGACCCTGTAGACCTGTACTAAATACATTAAAGAAGGTAGAAGAGGAGGAGGAGGAGGAAGAAGATGAAGAGGAGTTGGAGGAAGAAAAGGAAAAACAAATTCCTCACAAAGTTTATGGAATACTTGTAAAAAAAAGGTGGGGGGAGGTTTCTATAAATTCTTTGTGAGACCAGAGGACAGGATTGACAATGGGTATTCACTTCATCCACAGGTGCTGGCCTTAAATGCTCAGAGAGACATTCACCTTGGCTTCCAGTCACTTCTCACACAAGTGCGCAGGCCTGGTGCTCCGTTCTCCCTCAGCATAGCCAACAGACTCTTTGGAGAAGAGAGCTGCCAGTTCCTCTCAGTGAGTTGAGTCTCCAGAATGGTTGATTTCAAATACTGGGTGGCCCAGAGCCCAGGGGAGGATCCCACATGACTGGAGGCACTTCCAGGCAACCTTGTTTCCTCTAATGACACAGCCTCCTAAGGAAGCTTCCATGACCTCCCATGTGAGGATCGGAAAGTACTTTCATTCCTGTCAGTACTTCCAGATGCAGCACCCCTTACCTAGAAGCTGGCATTTGACCTCTCCTAGACTTCCGGGGCACATCTGCTAAGATACACATATGTCCCTTGAAATTTTCAAAGTACCACTGACTCAGAATGCTGGGCAGCTTCCTGACCTTTTGTGCAGCTCTGTGACCTCACCCGGGGTAACTCTGCCCACAGCCATTTCAGCAGTCCTGTCAGAATTACTACGAAGCCGAGTTGGAACAGCTGCCCTTCATCAAAGCTCCAGAGAGGTCCAGGAAGCACATCAATGCTTGGGTGTCCACCAAGACAGCAGGTTAGCATTAGGGGATCCCTCTGCTCCTTGTCCCCCCATCACCTTCTCCCTATTCCCTCCAGGGCCTCTTTCATTCCCATATCAGACAGTGATGTATTTTTCCTAATATGCTTCAGCAGCAATGATGGTGGAAGGTGTGAAGCATTCACACACCTGAGTCCTGCTACAATCATTTCTATTTCTTCTAATAAATGAGACTGCAAATGGCAGGCAGTTTTCCCTGAATATGCAGCAACTATTACCTGTTTCTTCCTCTATTTTTTTTTTTTACCATTTATTCTCTCTTGAAATGGTAATTAGATAGAATGCACTTAGTTCTTGAAAATGAGCCCTTGATATCCATGGGCTGAGGGGAGAATCCGGCGTTCCCACATTCTCTCCCCAGAGCAGCCTGGTGCTCTGCTGGAGGATCCAACAGCAATCTAACCCCCACCCACTCCCTTTGTGCCCCTGTTCTGCTGTCCCTTACACTGATCCTCTCTGCCCCATGTTACCTCTGGGTGTGGGCCTGGAGCCTTAGACCACACACCCCATTTCACCACTGAGGGGACTGCAGTTCCCACCCAGCGCAGCTCTCATTTCCAGCCCGTGGGGTCTCCGCCCTGTCCTTTCCTTCTCATGGCAAGCTTTCCATGACTGACTCAGAAACCTGTCACCACCTTCCTTTGGGGAATTTCCCCAAGTGTGCACAGGCATGAACACTACTCCTAGGAGTTGATTTCACAGTTTGATGCATAGCAGTTCTATCTCAGCTAGGCTGAAAATCATGTTTAAACATGCCCAGATATTCTTGTACAGTTTGCTCATCCTGGTGTTTATGAAGAGTAAATAAACACATCTCTACTTTCCCCAACAGGCAAAATTGAAGAGCTGTTGGCCCAGAATTCAATTGATGAGTTCTGCAGGCTGCTTCTCATTAATGCTGTCTACTTCAAAGGAACGTGGAAAGAAACATTTCTGAAGCAGAGCACAAGGACGGTGCCTTTTAAAATGAACAAGGTAGGGGCCAGGGAGATAGCTCAGTGGCCTAAGTGCCTGCCTGGCTAGCAGAAGATCCCAAGTTCAAGCTCTGGTACTGCAAATACATAAATAAATTATAAAATTAGCTTCTTTGGGCTAGGGAGATACTTCAGTCTGTAAGTATCTGCCTGGCAAGCCCAAGATCCTGAGTTCAATCACTGGGACCAAAAAATAAAAATAAAAAAATAAAATGAACTTCTTGGGGGCTTGCAGGTTAGCTCAGCAGTTTAAGTGCCTGCTGGGGCAAATCCAGTCAGGTACAAGGGACCATGGTTTGATCCCCAGCTCCCCATCCCTTACCAGAACTGCCCTTAAGGCAGCCCGAGCCAGCCCCCCAACACAAACAAAAATCCTTCCCAAAATAAACAAAGTAGGGAGAAGATTTAGTCAAAATCCTTTGATTAAAGAGTGGAGAAAAATATTTAACTCTGTAAGGTCATAAGTGTTTTAAAATATTTTGAAACAATAAAATTCTGAATTGAATTTTAAACTCAGGAGTACAAAATTATAGGAGTCTCATGACAGGCAGCACATATTCAGAAGGCCAGAATGACAGGCACTCCAA